AGGTTTAAATGTTGTCATAAAACTTGAGGGACGAGGCCTTTTTAGGATGCTAAATTTAAATATGTCATTGCATTTGATATTCTTTGTAAAAGGCGCCGCCTATAAGGGTACGCTTGAATTAAATGGACTCTAACTTTTTTGCTACAGTGTACAGAACAAACGTTTCCGAGATGTGCTGATGAAGAGTTAAGTATTTTTTTTGTAATAATCTGTTTTCTGATGCCTGTATTGTTCCTAAGAGTCTTAAATTTCAACAAGTTTGATAGAAAACCTCTAACGATAGTTGTCAAACTAAGCAGTCATAGCCTACTATGTTTTATCTCTATGTACTTTAAAAATGACAGTACTACCGTTTAGTCAATACTGATTTTCTCGAAAACGGTTAGTTGTATCAAAAAAATGTAGAGCTAAAAATTAAAGATCGTTGATTAAAAGGCGAAAATAAATTTTAAAATTTTTTACCATAAATAGCTAGTCAATAAAATACGAAACTATGATGTGCATTTAACTCTTCACCAGCCAATATCTCGGAAACGGTTGGTCTGAGAGATTACGCCCAAGTATACCTTTTTTGTTTAAAATTGATAGGGGAATAATCGCACTAATACAAAACGTCAATGTGCCTGTAGGAAAAAAGTTAGAGCCAATTTAATTCTAGCGTACCCTTATAGGTGGTGCCTCCTACAAGCAGCGTCAAAGGCAATGACATATTTTAGAATCTTAAAAAACTCCCATACACCAAGTTGTATGCCAACATTCAAATCTGTTTGGAAATTATGCCTAAATAAGAAAAAAATTAAATAAAAAACTTTAACACCCTCTATATTGAAAACTAAGCAGTTGTGGATCCACGTTTGTAGGAAAAAAGTCTTATTTTGACCTAAAAAATACTCCCTTTGTACTGAATTTTGAATCAGCCTGTATACATGTCACATATTTACTTTTATGGTTTCCACAGTACTTTGGTTTATTTACTGACCCCGTACATAATCAAGATTGTCATGGTCACACTGCTGTTTTTTCTGGTATTAGATTTACGAAATTGTTCTTTAAATTTTCTCTGAAGAAAAAGTATTTTATTATAAATCCTGTCTATAATACGTTCATCCTATTCTAGACGATGGTATACTTAACAAATTTTTTTGAGTTATGACCAAATTAGCATTTCCTGTGGATCATATCCGGGTCATAAGAAAAGTATTATTTGTTTGCAAAACAGTGGGAGTTATTATAAAACATCTTTGCAGAATAGTATTTTTTCAGTTTAAATGCAGGAACTTGAAGAATAGATTCATTACCAATTAAACAGAGTTTGCTGCATAAACTTTTTTCCTGGGGAACGCGGTATGCGAAATACAAGGTGGTGAAGTTTACAAGTTTACACCAAGAAACATTTTTCATTCATTTAATATAACAGTACCTGAATTACATTATATCTACAAAAACCAGCCAGTGGCCTAAGTTTGGTAAATGGTGCGGCACCTTCAGTAACACGCAATTTGTTAAAGGCACGAGGTTTATTACAATCAATTAAAGGTCTAATTAAGTGAATACGCTGTAGTAAATTTCATTCATTCAGTCATCGCATTATTATGATATGATATATCTTTGTAAACTTTAACATCCTCTATCTCAAATACCGTGTCCTTCAGGAAAAAAGTGTATAGAGCAAACTTACTATTTTGGTAATTCAGATTCAATATTTAAAGTGAAATTACTCTTATACTAAGTAAAGACGTTTAGTAAATTTAATAGCTCCCAAGCATAAATATGCTCCATGACAATCTCGACTATTGCAATTGTGGAAATGTGTCAAAGCAACTGTCAGCTTTTTTTCCTAGACAGAAAAAGGTAAGGGGGTAAAATGTGATGTCAATTACACTATACGTTGGCATTTTTTTACTGTATGATAGATAGGTACCTCAATTGTATGACAGACACACTAGACATTATCATTAAGCATTCACGGTCGATAGCCGCAGGATTTAAGGCGTCAGTACTTAAATCGATGTGTCGATCTGCCCGGGTTTCGAATCCCGCGGCCGGTAGACCGTAGATTAACTATGCTTGTATGGAGGATTGGCACCCTCTGTGCAGATATGGTAGGGTGGAAGAATGTTGGCTTGGGTCAATGTGAGAGATTGACACCGGTTGGCATTTGACCACCCCCCTAATTAATGAGGTTTTCCAGGTTTCCCTCATTCCTGCACTGAATGGTGGTTAGGGTCTACCAACATAAGTCGTTCCTGGGCGCAAATGCGGCCTGCGTAATAATAATTTGCCAAAGGGAATAAATTAGGGTCGTTGCCTATTGCACATTCCACAAAAGTAAAAGAAGAATATACAACTATTGCTCTGGTTTTAGACAAAATTAAATATGCGGAACACAATTGGCTCATATGTGTTGATTTAAAAATGGTCAACTTTCTTTTAGACCCAACAAAGTGGTTATACAAAATATCCCTGTTTTCTTTGCTTATGGGACAGTAGAGCTAAATATCAACATTGGATTAAAAAAGATTGGCCTCCTCGGGAAGCGCTAGTTGCAGGACAACAGAACGTGATAAACCCACCTTTAGTATCAAGGGATCGTATAAGTTTGCCTCCGTTACATATAAAACTAGGACTGATAAAACAATTTGTAAAAGGTCTTGACAAAAATGGAAATTGTTTCCGTTTCTTATCAAAAAAGTTTCCAAAACTGAGTGCAGAAAAGATAAAAGCGGGAATTTTTGACGGGCCACAAATAAAATCATTAATAAAAGACTCATATTTTACGGACACCATGACAGAGATTGAGAAAACGGCATGGAATGAGTTTGTTTGGCTTGTTAAAAATTTTTTGGGAAATAAGAAAAGTTCTGAATGTTCTCAACACGTCGAACAACTGATGAGTCACTTTCAAAGGCTTGGATGTAACATGAGCATCAAGTTACACTTTCTTTACAACCACCTGGACTATTTTCCCGCCAATCTTGGGGACCTAAGTGAAGAACAGGGTGAGCGATTCCACCAGGACCTCTGTACCATGGAGGAACGCTATCAAGGCCACTGGAACGTACACATGATGGCTGACTATTGTTGGAGCATTCAGAATAGCTCTCTGCCTTCAGCTTTAGCAAGAAAATCATATAAGAGAAAGTTTTTTTCATTATAAGAATTAAATAAATTAGAATTGTCTCTAAATTTATAGTGTTTTATTATAAAAAAAACACCCGAGTCATATTTTTTTAACTAGAGCTGATACAGAAATTTCAATCACGGAATTGAAATCGTCGTCAAAAATTGGACTAATATCATGTAACATAACCCAATCATCAGAAATGCTGTTGTGCAGCAAATTTATTTATATAAATAAATTTGTTTTCAAATTTTTTCCTGTATAACAGGAATTAAAAATTCGGTATACTGTAGTAATTCCTAGAAATCATTTCTGATATGTCAAAATTTTTTGTATGTCGCCACGGGCTTTTCAAATTTTGAAGACAAATCCTTGAAGTGTCACTGATGAAACTAATAATTTTTACTTTTCTAAAATTTTGTTAGCTACAGTTATTTTCGAACAATTTACAAAAGACATTAAGGTTATGACATTAAAATTATTTATCTTGACATTTATACCAAATAGCTGCATTAAAATTAAAGTCATCACAATTATACATTCATAGTACTAGTAGTATTATGAAAACTGTTTCTTAGATCCTGCACATTGTCAACTGGCGTTATATATACTGAAGTTTTAAATGTTCCCAAAGGTCCGTGGGATTTAAGTCCGGTGATCTACGGGTCCATGATTAGTCGGGCGCCTCAGCCTATCCATCTATTTTGATATACTCTGTTCAAATATATCCGATATATAAAAATTGTGGTCACTTATAAACCATAAATAATATCGCAAAATAAGTTGTATTATAGCCATCTAATCTTAATCGAGGAGAAAACGGTCGAATAATGTAATCTCCAGTAATACCCAGTCGAGCGTTGTATGGAGTTAAGGGAGAAATCGGGTTCATCTGTAAAAAATAATCGATTTAGAAATAACAGATTTCATACGTTCTGTATAGTACTCTTTAACATAAATTGAACCGTCAAGGAAAATCTTCCGGCAATAATGTACGTACTTCCTGAAAATGGTATGGATAAAAGAGATAACTTTTCAATATCTTTAAAATTGTTTGGTGGTTTACATTAAAATAAAATACCCATTTTGGGAGTACTCGTTACCAAATGATCTTCCAATAAACGTTGTGATTGTTTTAGATCTCCCAATATCATTATATTTCACAAATGCTCCAGTTTCTTGGAGCTGCTGATGGAGGCTTGATAATGTTTTTGCACATGGTCAAACTGGCTGAGGACCTATACTGATAAATAAGGCGTGATTCCTTGCGTTATCGTCAGGAAGGCTGTAAGTAAGTAAAATGCCATTTCTGAATTAGCAAGATAAGACATCCTAATTATGTAAAATAATTATAAAGGAATTATCTATTTATGAAGAAAGTAGTGACTAATTAACAAAAAAGGATGAAAACATCAGAATGTCGAAATAAGTAGCTACCTACTACTAATTTTCATCTATTCTGTCTGATTCTTCATAAAGTATAAAAATTTATATTCCGCGACTTATCCCTAGCTATTATTTCTTTTGTAATTTGTTCAAAATAGCCGTTCCTAGGAAAAATTTTAAAATAATTGATATTTCTATTTTTCTATTCTCCTGTCAAAATCAGTTTTTACAGTTTTTTCAAAAAAACACACTGTTGTCCTTATTTACACCCATGACCATATAAAAATGATTTGGGAAGTGAGGTATGAAACTTTCTGGGAAGTAGTGTGTCATATTGAGAATAAAAGTTCACCATGTACAGGTATGTTCTAGATCTAGATATTACACAATCATATTGCTTTATTATCGTTCGTTCAAAATACACACACTTATAAAAATTATATGACATAATTTATAATAAAAGGATTGTTTGGTTTAGTATAAAAACAGAATATTTATACTTTTTGCATTTTATTTAAAAATATATCGAAATTGACATAGTTTTTTTTTTTGAGAGTTGTGCTGTTTCACTACCATGGGACAATCTTGAGGTCTATTCCCCTGTATTATATTCGGGTTTGTTACTTGCCACTGAAAAAAAAAGAAATTGAATTTGGAATTTACCGCAAGTGAATTTGTTACAATACAACAAATTATATTATAATATATAAGTATATTCATTATTCTTTATTAATAACAGAAAGTATGTTAATTTGTTCTTTTCATTTCTAAAATGGGCAGATATTTTAATAAAAACTTACTATCCTCCACCATGCGACCCAGCAGATGCTTGAGCTGACGCTGATGCTGAAGCTTGACTTCCGCCGAAGCCGCCTCCCCCTCCTTGTTGACCTACAGAATGAAAAATGTTGATTTTCTGTTTAAGCTATAGAAAAATTAGTACCAGTTTTTGATTTAGGCTCGTTAAGTTATTATTTTATTATGATCAATAGATGAAGTAATTAAAGAAAAATCGATATTTAATCTACCATAAAATGTTTACTTTTCATTAATTTTTTTTTCTTGGCTTGTAATCTTACCTCCTCCTCCTCCTCCAGAGCTGCCTCCACCGAATCCTGGAAATAATTAGATACACATAAATTTTTATAAATAACTACTTAAAAATATGGTAACTCAAAGGTAAATATTATAACGATAAGTGAAATTCTTCATTGTATTCTTAAAGAAAAAATGAAGTTAAAAAGATTATATATTTGTATACTAAAATTAATTTTAACTAATAATATCGCAGGAAACAACAAGATAAAACATACTTTTAGTACACTGCATATACAGGATGTCCTGAAATGAATGCAACAAAATTTGGTTACAGATACGTATTTTTTATTTTTGCCAAGTGGGCCCCTTGAAATCCGCTCTTAAGAATAGTCTTTTTTTATATCTCAGAACTCTGTTGTACGACAATCACTAAATTTGATACACAGGGGTTTTATGACATGTGGAATCTGACAGTGTTACGCTTTTTGGGCGGGAAATCCCTTTAAGACACGTTTTCGTAGGCCCCCTTGTATTTGGAGCCAAAAAAATTTGGTTGCATATTTGAGTTTCTAAAAAGTTATTATTCCGCCTGAAAGCCATGTAAGTTAGAAACTGTTTTGTCTCTCGATACTTTTTCGTAAAACGCAGTGTTTTCGAGAAAACGGCAGAATGTCATCGAATGCAGAACGTGATTCGCTATTACCATATTACTAGTAAGTACTATATGATGATAACTTTTTTTAGATTAATTGAAATCAATCATCAACCCATAGTTGATGGAAACAATCCTATTTTCTATTTCTCCTAGGATTTATTGTACATTATTTTGATACATACGATACTTTAAGCGAAATCTAGAAATAAGTATGTTCCTGTAAATTTTTTATCGACAAAATGGAAGTTATTAAATATTATAGTGTACTGTTAAATAACCATAGACATTCTTTATTCGAGTATTATTTTTATCTGAATTTATATGAAAATATTATATATTAAATGTTATTTAACATAATTTAAATTCCGTTTATTATCAATAAATAAACAAGAAATACTATTACATGCAAAATAAATGAAAATATCATATTTCTCACCTCCTTTACCACCGCCTCCTCCAAGTCCACCGCCTCCAAGTCCACCGCCCCCATTTCCACCGCCTCCAAATCCACCGCCTCCACCGCCACCACCGCCTCCTCCAAATCCGCCACCTCCACTTTTACCTGGATATGCTTCTCGTCTTTGGCGAACTAAGTATTTGGAAGGGGCATCTTTGTCATCCTATAATAAACCCGCATTTATTACCACTATAAGAAACAAAAATGTTGAAAAATGGAAAATTCAGAGAGAGAGAAAATGTACCTTGAAAGTAAATATCATTAGTAGGTATGTCAATTTTTGAAATAACGAACTCCAGAGAATATTAATGCTAAGAACACATACTACAGAGCTTTCATAAACCTTTACAAGCCATGTGACCGCCTAGCTTAGGCAACCAATGTTGCAGGGCTGGTACTGGTAACGAAAAATCCCTAAATCTTGTCCTAACCATTATTAATGATTCGTTTACAATGAACAATGACAAACCGTCACGTCTGCGCTCGAGATACTGTGATCGCTAATTGGTTGAATAGAATCTCGTAAAAAATTACAGCTGGTAAAACAGAATATTGTGTTTTAATGTAATTTTAATCTTATTATTTGAATAATTTTTAATTTTACCGAAATTTAGTTGTCATCGCGAAGGAAATAAAATTTCTGTTTCAAACAAAATTACTCCTTATGTGGCTTGTAATGATTTCTGAAGGCAGACAATGTTTATTACAGTTTTGACAGTGAATGATGTGTATAATAAATACATATGATTTTTTGTTTATTAATGTATATAAATATTTCAATATATTTCAATTTAGAAATTTTTTACCTTCAATATATTAGAAACAAATTATTTTAAATCTGACTTTATTTAATTTTTTAAGTGTATTGTAATTTTTGCTACAGGCTATGAATAAAAAAAGACTGAAACAAAAAAATTTTTTAAGGATAAATTCAATTTAGAAAATTCGTGGTTTAGTTAGTTAATCTCCTAGTGTTGTTAAATAGACAATTTAAAAAATAATTGAGTTTTTGAAGAAAGTATCATTGCACATACATTTTTATATTTGAATTTTAGATTCAAATCATCTAATATTTGCAGAAACTCAGTTTCAACTATAGCCTTAAATATAACAGCAAGGAGGAATCAAATAAATTAAAAAAAATAAAATTCCAATATTTAACTATATGAATAGTAATTAGATAAAGAAATGCTCAACGAAATCATGCTCTGGTGAAATTCAGAAATACTTGCTGAGTTTATTGTATTCATCTTAAAACAAAAATTAAACGAAAATTAAAATTCTTAATTCTCGACGTTTCGTCACCAAATATATTGTGCTCTCTTCAGAACAACTAAAAGTCGATGGGTTTCAGTAAGTTTTTGGTAATATCTAAGTGCCTTCATAAGATAAGTGAACAAAATTAAATAACCACACACAAATATATCAATGAATAACTTTGAAAATCTAAAACCCATCAACTATTAGTTGTTTCGAAGTATACACTGCATAAATGGTAACCAAAAGCCAGTACATAAAAATTGTGCTTCCTTTAAATTTTCACGATTGCCAGTATTACCGATAACATTAACAATGTTAAAAACATTCTTTTATAGAAAGAAAAATACTATTTTAGCGCTTACCTCCGCCTGTTGAAGGAGAACAGGAACCTCTCGGACCTCTGCAGGAATAGGGCGAACCAGTAAGTACGAATGCTTCTTTCCGTAGCTTGGACCATCACTGATGAAGTTAGAAGATTCATAGTTGAAAGCTTCTGGCCTCTCCCTTGGTGGTGAAACGATGTCCAGCAGATAAACTACTCCCACAGGCCTTGACAATGCATTGGCAAGGGAAACTTCTTGCTCTGCTTGGCTAATGCCAGCAGCAGCTAGCAAAGTAAGTGCTACTAACCACTTCATGGTTGGTTATGTGTTCCTCGCCGAATTATTTACGTTTTTATAGTTTCTTCGCAGTTATGTAATACCACCGGGAATTAATTCGTTTGTATTGTAACAAGAAGTAGGGAACTATATATCTAATTGGCTATACAATACCTTTGCATAAAAAGCAGTCTTAATTTAGACGTGATTCTGAGTAAATATCATTTCATTATTATTAGATACTTATTATTAAATTAGCAAATATGTACTTATTGTTCATTTTGGAATTATCGGTACGTGGAGACTTCCTTTTGTTAATATTCGTCCCTATTTTGCATATGAATTTAACATAATTATTATTATAGTGATACTTTTTAAAGGTGAGGGTGATTCGAGAATTTAATTTTAGTTTTATACAGGGTGTCCCTGAAAATAATGGACAACGCTTGACCACACGTTCCTTGGATAAAAATAATACTATTTAGCCTAACTTACCTATATACAAAAGTGCACGCCTACTGAGATATAGCCTTCTAAATATAGAATAGATAACCTAGTTTTTTTCAATTAATTTGATAACTATTTTTATTAGAAACTTTGATACACTTATTTTTTTATGTAAGGGCAAGGTAAATATAGAATTTGGTGAGAATACATATACAGGATGTTCTCTTTCTGGTGCCTGTGCGCCACTGGGCTATTCCGTTACTTTTTTGTGTGTGCGCCAATGACGACATAATTTATATTTTTAAAAATAAGCATAATTTTAGAAGATTTTTTTGCTCTTACAAAATTTTGATATCGTTTATGGATTTCGAGTAAAACTGGCATTTTTTATACATTAAATATAGGCAAAAACTCCGATTTGTAAAAAATAATTTATAACTGCAGCCTCAAAACAGGGAATAATAATAAAAAAAAACGTCACATTAAAAAAATAACTACACATTTTAGTATTAGTATTATCAATCAATAAAATAAAAATCAACACTAATATTTTAAATAAACAGTATCAACTAATAATGTAAGAAAGTCAACATTAACATTTTAAATAAACTTAAATTGATATTTGTACATTAAAATAATATTACAGTAAATGCTCAAAGTTACTTCCTTGTTCTTAAATGCAAGCATTAGTTCTTGGAAAATGAAAATGAATTTTACCCAATAATTGTGCATTACCTCTCATAACACTAATTTCATGTTGTATTCTTTCCCATTATTCGTTTTCTGTGTTTACTGAAAAAACTGTGGTCCGCAACGCTTCCCAGAGGCAATAATTACATGGGTTTAGGCCCGGGGATCGAGGTGGCCATTTTAAAGGGGCATTATTTCCTATACTTATCCACCTGTTAATATAGTAACCTGTAATAACTGGTCTTTTAATACTCTATTAACGGAACTTTTTGAAAGCCAACCTTTGCCGCTAAACGCATTTTATTTACTTGAAGAATTTCTTCGACCCTTTCCAAAATTTGTTCCTCGAGCTGAATAGTTCTATCCGTACATTATCCACGATTTAATGTTACAGTTAAAAGTTGTGATTTGGAATTCCTCGATTAGGAAAACTCAGCATATGTTCAAACAGTAGCACAACAATTTCCTTCACAATAACCCAAAACTAATAACATATCAGTTTGTTCAGCAAAAGTATAAATTGCAGTAAAAAACAAAGTAAACTAAAATTAAATCACAGCTAGCTTGACACTGAACCTTTTAATTTTTGTTATGAATTTGTTTCTTTGTTATATGGCACCTCGTACTAGACTATTCTATTTATCTTAAACTAATTTTATATTATTTAATGTGTAAAATATGCCAATTTTACTCGAAATCCATAAACGATATCAAAATTTTGTAAGAGGCGAAAAATCTTCTAAAATAGTGCTTATTTTTAAAAATTCAGATTCTGTCGTCATTGACGTACACACAAAAAAGTTAAGGGATAGCCAGTGGCACACAGGCACTAGAAAGAGAACATCCTGTATATGTATTATCACCAAATTCTATATTTACATTGCCCTTATATAAAAAAATATGTGTACCGATATTGTAAGAAAAACAGTTTTCAAATTATTAGAAAAAAACTAGGTTATCTGTTTTATATTTATTTATCTGTTTCTATATCTCAGTAGGCGTGCATTTTTGTATATAGGTAAGTTAGGCTAAATAGTCTTATTTTCATCCAAGGAACCTGTGGTCAAGCGTTGTTTTCAGGGACACCCTGTAGAAGATAATTCATTTGAAATAAATGAATGCTCATTGTTTGAATTGCTTCAAAATTTTAAAATGAGGAATTCAGTAACGTTAATATTATAGACGAATTAAATTAAATTATATAATATTATAAAATTAATATCCATGTACCTATCTTTCTCTGTCCTTATTAATTTACTTTTAATGTAACGATTAATACCAAGTTTCATTTTCCCATAATATCACGTTCTAAAAAATTATTTGCCTGTGGAATTCTCTGAAAATTGAACAAACCCTTGTTTAAAGAGAATTATCTGTTAAAAGTGATTACTTTTTCACAAGTATGTCACATCTAATATACAGGATGTCTCAGGGTTAAGTTGACAAACTTTGAAGATGTGTTCCTCTGGTCAAAATAAGTAAAAAATGTATATACACAGGCCCGGAAACGTTTTGCTTTCGAGATACAGGATATCCAGAATTCCATAAAAATAATGATGTCTCTTAATATCTAGAAAGCGAATATTTAAGTAAAACTTGATGTGACCTATCATTAGAAAATTTGTTGCATTATGTCTCTATAATAAGTATTACTATCCATCAGTGGAGATGATATGGGTAGGCGGTTCAATTAACTCGGTAAATAAAGTAGTACGGCCCTGTAAGAAATGAGAATTAGTATAGTCTTTCCGATCTCGATTAAAGGCCAAAGAGCTAGGCAGTATGTACCAGGTTCCGTCGCTACGCAGCAACTTGGCATTGAAATATTTGAAAAACTTGTTCTCGTATGCATTTAGCCATATCCACAAACAGATCTGGTTGAACTAAACGTGGAGGTAGTAGAAATGTATTCGCCCAGTTGAAGAATACCGGCCATAAAATTCAGTTGTTGACAGATTGCCTAGCAGCGCAGTGCAACAATGCCGGGCAGTAATATATTTTAATGAAAATATAAATGTTTTCTGATATGTCGACCAGAATTTACCATCAATATAATAAAATTGTTTGAGGACATAAATAATTAAAATATATTGTTAGCTAAATGAACATATAATAGAAATTTTCTACATATTAGGTACAGGGTGTCCCAGAATAACGTGTACAACGGAAGACCACAGATTCGTGGACTCAAAATAGTCAGATTTAGGCTAATTCACCTATATCTGAAATCGCATTGTTTGGCCGCTAGATGGCCTCAAAGTTAGTAAAATTTTTTTAAATTTTGTAAATAATTCGAATATTTATTAATCGATTTTGATTATTTTTGGTGTGTGGACTTTTGCTTTCAATCTACACATTTTGGTGTTATACAGAGTGTTTTTTTAAACCAGCAACTCCTACAAAATTGATGTATGTTAATATCCATTCATAACTTTTCCCTCTTTCGGGAAATAATTATGACAATGACAACTATTTTTAATTGGATAAGTGATACCATTTGGAAGTTTTTGGACCTCTTGTAGAATTTTGATTAAATGAGCGGTTTGGGTACAATAAATATTTTTTGAATGGCTACATTATCTTGCCATCCATATTACAGTACTTAACAAAGTGCTAGTAGTCATTGATTTTGTAGGCTGATTGTTAGCAGACGCCATTAGAACCGGTAGATCCATCTTTCCTGACTACATAATTACTGACACTTTATTGATCAATATTATTGACTCATTTGAGGGCTACTGTTTTTTTTTACCATATATTGCGTCAATAATATTGCTTCAATAATATTGACCGTGTAAGGGACCCTTTACGGTTTTTCTAACGAGTTATCTTAGTCATTGACTAGATGTATGACAGATATAACACAATTCGAGGCATTAGTGTGCAGAGTAGTTTCCTGCAATATTTTTACTTAATATAATCTGAGCGATGCATAATATATTAAAAGTATTATGACGCCAGGCTATTTTTTAAATTAAGCAAACACTTTATCCAAGAAGAAAATAAAATATTTCTAAATGGTGTCCTTCATCTGATTTTTGTATCTTGAAATAAACTTTTCAACATTATGCCTGATAATACTGTATCTCAAAAGCGAAGCGTGTTTTGACACATACTTATCGGAACTTTTTTTGTTAATTTATGAAGTATATCTGCCATAAAAGTTTTGATTTTAAAATAGTTTCTGAGGCGTTTAAAGAATAGATTCTTTTTATGCAATCAGTTCTAGATGAGTAGTTGATTATTACTGGTTAATGTGGTTGTTTAATAATATAGTATAATTTTTTTTTAATTTGTTATTCATTCAATAACAGTTCTTTAACTTTTCTTTTGTAAATAGTATTTCTACTGGCTTATTTTGACAGTAGAAATATTAATAATTTTAGATACTGAACCCTCTTAAGATAAAATTAGGTCAATTATGGAACCGTTAGGAATATATTGTTTTTAAATTAAATTAGTCGTAAATATTTCAGATCAGCTTCATATAAGTATTAGTTGTTTTTCTTAACATAACAAAAAAACGATGGTAGTTTTAACATTTTATTTAAAAAATAACCAAATTGACAGTAATTTTTGAAGATTGGTTTTTATTCATTTTCAATTCAATTTTGTAGAATTTTCCATGGGCCACTGTTCATCCACATCTGTTATTTGCCACTGGAAGAAACATTGTACATAAATATTAATTTAATTCATTTAAGAATTATTAAAGAAACGTAATTTACTACAAAAGAAAATTGAGCCAATGTAAAAATTATTTTCAGTTATAGGCTATGAACAGTATTTACATAGGAGTTTCATATTAATGATTTAGCAAAAGAATATATAGGTATTTGTTTGGAAAGAATTATAGTCAAATTAGTTTCAAACAATTTTGAAGTTATGGACTGACAAAAGAACAAAAATTCATTTTTGAATATTAATTTCGTCAGTTTTTAGAACTTACTATCCTCCACCATGTGATCCAGCAGAAGCTTGAGCTGATGCTGATGCTGATGCATGACTTCCGCCGAAACCTCCTCCTCCTCCTTGGTGACCTGGGGAATAAACATATGTTGAGTTTTAAATTTAAATTATTGGGAAACCAACACTAGTTACCTATTTTAGCCAACAGTTAATCTGTATCATTATCAACTCAACATAAATTTCTCTAGCAATCAGAGTTACTGAATTAATCATTAACTACTTATAAAAGCTTGCTTGAATGAATATACTGGGTGACGACTTTAGCTGACGACCTGATTAAAAAAGCGAAGGTTCACAAAATTTGTTTATAATTTTTAATATATATTTTTAATATATATAATTTCTATATATAATGACAGTCAGCATTTTTCAGAATTCCAGATTTTATCCAAGGAACCTGTGGTCAAGCGTTGTTTTCAGGGACACCCTGTAGAAGATAATTCATTTGAAATAAATGAATGCTCATTGTTTGAATTGCTTCAAAATTTTAAAATGAGGAATTCAGTAACGTTAATATTATAGACGAATTAAATTAAATTATATAATATTATAAAATTAATATCCATGTACCTATCTTTCTCTGTCCTTATTAATTTACTTTTAATGTAACGATTAATACCAAGTTTCATTTTCCCATAATATCACGTTCTAAAAAATTATTTGCCTGTGGAATTCTCTGAAAATTGAACAAACCCTTGTTTAAAGAGGATTATCTGTTAAAAGTGATTACTTTTTCACAAGTATGTCACATCTAATATACAGGATGTCTCAGGGTTAAGTTGACAAACTTTGAAGATGTGTTCCTCTGGTCAAAATAAGTAAAAAATGTATATACACAGGCCCGGAAACGTTTTGCTTTCGAGATACAGGATATCCAGAATTCCATAAAAATAATGATGTCTCTTAATATCTAGAAAGCGAATATTTAAGTAAAACTTGATGTGACCTATCATTAGAAAATTTTTTGCATTATGTCTCTATAATAAGTATTACTATCCATCAGTGGAGATGATATGGGTAGGCGGTTNGACGACCTGATTAAAAAAGCGAAGGTTCACAAAATTTGTTTATAATTTTTAATATATATTTTTAATATATATAATTTCTATATATAATGACAGTCAGCATTTTTCAGAATTCCAGATTTTCGATGTCGTTAAGTGTTTTGGAAATTCTAGGTCATTTGAATCAAGTCATTTTTTAATAGTATAAAATAAAGATACAATGTAATTATCAATAATAAAAAGCATTATCGTACATATTTTAAATTTTCCATTGGATGAAAGATGCAAATTGGTACACTACTGAATTTTCTGGATTTTCAATGATTGTTACATTGCATTTAAAATTGCATTTGCAACAAAAAACTTTTATACACTTTTTTGTGAAACATAATTTAAGAATTATTTTCGATTTATGGAATTGTGATGTGTTTTTTAAATTGAAAAAATAATAACTCAAAAATATTTTTCTTTTTCCAAAGCACTCAGTATTGTCGAAATCTTAGGATTGTTATTGGTGAAGGTATCTCCTAGTAAATTTGTCACTGGTTGAAAGAAGATTAATTGGTAGTATTTGTGCTCTTTCATTTAGATCACTCTGTATACTAACAAAGACTGATGTAAGGTTATAATATTTTCTTTAATTTGAAAAACTTACCTCCACCTCCTCCGAAGTTGCCGCCTCCTCCACCGAGGCTACCCCCACCAAATCCTGGAAAAATGTTAAGAATATTAATTTCCTTTCACTTTTAAATGTACACACTTGTATTAATCAATTATTTTAATCAAACATAACCGTAATAATACAGAATTTAACAAAAAAAAAGGTTTTCTTATCTCAGTTAGACACGAATTATATCTGAGTGGACACGAGATATATATCAACTTTAAATTTTATTAATTAATTTGAAGATTATTTCTTTGTATCAATGAATTACATTATTTTTTCTATTCATTGTGTAATAAATATATGAAAAATATCAATATACTGCTCTTATAAAAAAATATACTACGGAAACGCAACGATTTCGATGTGCAGGATGCTCAAAATTAATGAAAGTATATGTTTTATTTTTAATTGGAAAAAATAAGAAGGAAGTAATTTGAGTGAGATAAAATGGTTACTTTACTATCATTATTAAAAAATAATGGATAATAAGTCAGAAATGGTTTTGCCATTTGTATCAGAAACAGTGCATCTTAACATATTTTATAAAACGTTTAGTGTTCAGATCATAGCAGTCTTGTTTGAAATACTTACTCTTATATATAAAAAAGTACGTGACAAAAATTAAAATTGAATTAACTTTAAATTTTATACTTTATATTTATGTAAATTGTGTCAAGCTTTAACAATAGAGAAACTAATGAAATGTAAGTGTTGTTTGGATAACTCATTCTTGATTTTAATACATTTTTAACACGACAAGCTGAAGGTCACATCAACTATTTATTACTATCGTAACTGCCACTTAATGCAAAAAATATATTTTAATTTCAATTTGCAGGCATATTTCCACAAAATCTAGAAATGGTGTGACCTGAATTATTCATCTATCAAAAGAAAATTATTTCAAAATTTAAAAGTGTCTTACCTCCTTTACCACCACCACCACCTAGGCCACTACCACCACCTAGGCCACCGCCTGATCCACCACCGCCTCCTAAGCCACCACCGCCTCCAAATCCACCGCCTCCTCCGAATCCACCGCCACCGCCTTTACCGAATCCACCGCCGCCACCGCCGCCTCCACCACCACCTCCGCCAAATCCGCCGCCGCCTTTACCATACGTGCCTCGTCGTTGACGAACTAGGTATTTTGGAGCAGCATCTCTGGTATCCTGCAATAAAATAATAGATGTGAAAATATACCTTTAAAAATATGTAAAATGTATGTATATGTAAAAAATCTTCTGATTACTAATTATGTATTTATTTAAGATTTAAAACATTATTTAGTTTGTATTCGATATAATGTATTACATTTTAAATATACAGGGCTAGAAAATCCACATGGTCTATCTGCCTTTACATGAGAGCGACAAAGTAAAGTAAAGAAATCCGTGCGATAGACAAGGATGGCTATAGTGAAGACGTTTCATAATCTGAATAGCCACCGCCCGTTTCGGGTTAGAAGTGGGAGTGACTATTCAGATTATGAAACGTCTTCAATGTAACCATCCTTGTCTATCGTACGGATTTCTATGACTTACTTTATCGCTCTCACGTAACGGCCGATGTACCATGGGGACTTTCCGAACCTGTATAGTACTTTTTCAAATATTATCTCTTTTCTGCTATAATATGTGTCGATATACTTTTAAATGTTTTAAATATTATCTGTGGCGTTTAATAACTGACATGATGATGCCTTTTAATATTTTTTGCAAACTGCTTTAAAATCAAAATATTCCAAGCATATCAATTTTCTTAATTATCGCCACACCTCAATTAACATTTTACAAGGGTCAAAAAAATATTTATTTTATCAAGGTGTCTATGAAAAGTGGGTTCCAGTAATCCATTTTTAGTGATATGAGCCATAGCCATGAACAATAGTCGAAATGTGTTCCAATTTTAAAACTGACGCTTTAACTGGTTCGATTAACTTATTATTAAATGAAATGAGGGATAATAGATTATTTTTAAGAGGTCATATACTTGTAAGTCAGACTTCTAGTCTTGTGACCTTTTGATTAAATTTGACCTATCAAATACCCTTGTAAAAGAGAGTTAAATTAAGGGGCAATTTGAGTATAAGGTGTGCGATAAGCATCAAATATTATCATCCCTTTGGTTTATTTAAAATTATTGATTTTAAATGACTATATAAGGTATGTATTAATATACGTATTAACTTTTTTTTTGTTAATTCTAACGTATGCTGTGGCTCTAACCACAATATTGAGATATTGCGGTTGCAGTCGTGAACTGTATCGTTACAAATATTATGTAAGTTGTGTATGTATTATTTCAATGTTTATTTAAAATCAGATCATTAAATCCAATAGGAGTTTCTATATACTTATGAAATATTTAATTTTATAAATTAATATTATCAGGTAAAGTATGGTTTTAATAATAATAGGTGGGAAATTGCAAGGTTTTAATTTTTTTTTAAGTTCTCAACTCAAGCCAATTATCCGATATTAACAAAATATATAACACTAAATACATTGTAAAGGATAAAAAATTGGTACACTTGAAATTAAAGCAGCATTTCTCTTGCTCAAATTTAAGAACATTTTGACATACGGGGTGTATCTAAAAGATCTTTACAAAAGTGCAGCACACATTCTCTCGATCAAAATAAGTCGATTTAAATTAACTTACCTCAATACAAATGTGCTTAGTAGGGACGTTAGCCCTGAAGTGTCAATTTTTAAATTGTTTTTTTGTTGTAAATTTAAAATAACTTATGCGATCTTGTTACATTTGGTACCTTGACATAGCTTTATGGAAGAAAAAGTAAATAAATAGAACAGGGATATTTTTGTAAATGAATATTTCTACGCATAAGTCGTTTTAATTTTATAATAAAAAAAACCAGTTTAAAAATTGATAACTTCATGGCCATTTGGAGCCTAAATTGAGCACATTTTTTGTACTGAGATAAATTTATTTAAATCGACTCATTTTGATCCAAAGAGCATGTGGTAGAATTTTGTAAACTCACAAAAGAGATACCCTGTATAAGTATTCATCCTTAAAGCTCCAGTTTTTGACATACAGGGTGTTAATGATTTAAAAAATAGGGTATCGGCATATCCATCAGAATTAAGACATCTTTAAGAGAGTAAGGAGAATTTTGAACACATTTCGTAAAATTATGTAAATAAATTCTGCATTTATTCAAACGAATTATCTTTAAGAATGGCCAATTTGTACCAAATGTTTTGCAAAAATAATAATATATTTTTTTTACAATTAAATTTGAGTGTACAAAATGACGAAAATTTTTTTTCAATGATGTGCATTAATTTTTGAATAAAATGTAACCAGCATATCGCATGTCTACACCAATGCTTTAAGCTGAGCCTCGGTTCGTTCACATTGAACGTCATTTTATTTATGTATTTTCCACGTGAAATTTCGTTTTAATATTTTATTTGTTCAAAAGGGATTTAGATAGATACTTTTTTTTTCAGTACCCTTTGTATCAAAAGGCTTCAAGGGCAAATCTGTATATAATACAATTTTCCTAAATATTGTAGTATACCACCAAATAATAATATTAGGAAGAATATTAATGTTTAATTTTGGATTACAACGAAGAAATTATTTTTATGCAAATTATTAAGGGGTTTTAGTATTCATAGTGAACGGTATTTTAAAAAAAAAATGTATGAAAAATGAATTGTCACACGTACCTCAGCAGGGATAGGGCGAATCAGCAAGTACGAATGCTTCTTTCCGTAGCTTGGACCGTCACTAATGAGGTTGGAAGATTCATAGTCGAAAGCTTCTGGTTTCTGCCTTGGTGGTGAAATAATGTCCAGGAGATAAACTACTCCTACCGGCCTTGGCAATGCGTTGGCGATGGCGACTTCTTGTTCCGCTTGGCTGCTGCAGATGCTAGCAGCGGCTAGCAATGTAAGTGCTACTAACCACCTCATGGTTGGTTATGTGTTCCTCTGCCAGTTATCTCCGTTTTTATAGTGCCTTCGCTGTTATGTAACAATACGAGGCACTAATTCGTTCGCTTTGTAAAAAAGTAGGCAAATATATGTCTCTGATTAATGAGGGGATATTTTGATGTAAAAAACAATTTTGGTGGTTCAGAAGCGATCCTAAGCAAATAAATTCGTAGGTTCATCATTAAGTTGGCAAATACTGATTATTTGTTAATTTAAAATTGTTAGTACATGGGGATTTTTCAATTTGGAGTTATATATATATATTTTTATCCTTACTCGCAAAAGTGAATTAATTTAATTTAAAATATATAACACCTAACTCCTTAAAAACTTTTAAAAGTGAATAGGAAGAGCTTTAACAGAAACGCATCTTATTACACAAAATAAAAAAATATTTATTAAAAATGTCAACGAGGCTATATTCATAGAATCAGTTATTCTTTTATTGACGTCAGGGAACACATTTTATTTAATTTTTGAAATTGTGTTCTTTTTATTTAGACCTTAAGTGGTGCAACCTGTTTAAGAATTATAACTAGTCAACTGTTTATTTTTAACATAGAAACTAGATACATGGATTTCGATAAAGTGATCCTAACTGGTATGCATCTATTTCAGTTTCTTTGGAACAAACTTTATTACTTAAGTTAGTTGCTATTTTCAATACAACATTGGAAATGAACACTTTTTTAAACACATTAAAAAAATGAGAATATTGCAATATTTCTATCAAGATATATTCTTCCATTTTCTTTTTATTTAATAAAATGAGTATATACTGATAAAAATTTTATGTAAATTACGCACTAGATCATTGATTATTTCGACGCCATAGTCGGTAATGTAAAATTTACATCATACAGGTAAAGTTACACGAAGCATGTAAATTTACACTTTTTCATGTAAAGTGTAATTTTACTAAGAAACTGGAAAACTAGATAGTACTTTTAAGAAAAAAAATCTGGCCATTATCTTGTAATATTTTTAGAAAGAATATCTTTTTTATATATTTAAATATTTTTCAAGGCAGGTTACGAGTATCTAAGTGAAAATAAGAGAAAAGTACATTGAATAAACTTAAGAAGATTTATTAATGGAGTAATGGAGTAATGACACATTTTTTTTATAGTAAAATATATATTTCTGCATTTTACCTAAAGATAAGTAACAATATATACTTATCAAAGACAAATGAGATTCTTCTATAAAATCGACTTTTAATTTAAAATAATTATATATAAGGAAAAACATTCTTTATGTATTTTCTGGAACAAGTTTTACTTTCCATTTATATGAAGATATTTTCTGGATAAAAATTTTGTTTACAGGTGCATTTTAAGGTAGAATCTTTGAACCATTTCGAGAAAAATGTCCACTTCTACAGAACATTAAACTGAAAACAAAATATAGTGTAACTAAAAAAATAAATAAATAGGTTTTAAATAGTAAGCTCCAATCTAGATGTCTGCGTATAAGGGTTAGGCAAAGTTCAATATGGTTATTATTCATGTTTCTTTTCAATAACTTCAAATGAGGGTAAACCGAGAAATGTATGTAATATACACAAAGTTATATTTACTCAGTATTTATTTATTACGTTATATTTAGGTAGTTAAAACACTGTTATATTATTACGCCACAAATGAATATAAACATGCCTACTGAACAACACAGTTTTCTGCACACGCGCGGTAACACCACACCAGGTGAACACATGATTAATCTGATTGGTCGAACCAAATTAGGTCATGTAAATTCACATTTTTATGCGTATATTTACCTCAAATACAATAACAACACATGAATAATTAGGAATAATAGATTTTAAAATGTACAACATAAAAGGTAAGAATACATAGCAAAATTAAAATATACATTCAAACGTGTAGTTTTACACAATGTATGTTCAATTTATTTATATCTATTTTTGGTGTAGCTACAAAAATCATTACAAATATGTAAAGATCCCATGTAAATTTTCACAAATTTTTACAGTGTATATTTAAATTTTTACTCATAGATACTTATTCATATGATTACCATGAATTTATCATTTTTATTAAAATAAAAAAAAGTTTGTTCGAAGTTTTTGTAAATCATTATTAAAATTAATATTTATGTGTTGAATATGTGATTAATGTTCTCATAAACTTTTAGACAAAATTATTATACCACCAACAATGGATCCCAATTTTAATAAAGTTGATTTTCCTGAGTACGACCAATCTGATCTTGACGATCTTTTTTTATGTTACAACTTTATCCCTCAATAACAATCTCAAGAGAGCAGCTAATATTCAAATTTTAGGTTTGAACATTTACAGTGTGTCTCAATATTCCGTATAACCAAAGGTGTTTTATTTAGCCGTTAGAGGGCATCACATTTCAAGCAAAAATGTTTATTTTTTTTTTAAATATATTTTGCTCATATTTTTTTGAGGTTGTTTTCCTCAAGTTTTGTCTCTCTTGTTGATTTTTTAATTTTACTGTAATTAATTAATTTATGAATCGTTACCTACAAATCTAATTATCATAAAAAATTGATTTATTTTATATTTAAAATTAAATAATATTTTATGGGATTCAGAATCTTGCAGTCTAATCAGTTGGAAATAGTCACAATTTCAGAGACAAGAAGTCGAAAAAATAAATCATCTTTTGCAAATTCTATGAATTTAAATGTTCCTCGAATTAAAATAATTATATGGTTTGATAATCACAATTTACAGAATGGGAATGCTCTGATAAGAGCGCAATTGTTTTTGTCAAATTATGTTACTATGAAAATTATGACTAATAAATAAATACCGATACGATTACAAAAATTACTCAAAATTTAAAGATCTTTCATATGACCGCATTTTCAGGTTCCAGGAACCAAAAAATTTCTTGGTTTCGCCACGCCATCTATAGAGAATGATTTGAACTAACAATTCTGCCTGCAATTTGAAGCTATTCGACAACCCCAGTTTCTGGAACTAAAATGAATTTCTTCATTTCGGAGATATTGGCAGCGGGAGTGTTAAATGGCACACCCTGTATACAAGAATATTATCGTATCAAGTTTTGCTAACTTTGTGCGGGCTCTAGCGCCTAAACGAAGCAACTTTAGATAGAGATAAGTGTTGTTAAATATTGGGGCACCTGGTACCTGATGCAAGGGAGTAAATAATCTTTTTGCGAAATATGAAATCCTCTATTGCGCCAGCTAAAATATTCTTTGTTTTCTTGAATCAACTGTAGTTTCATTTTTTCTGATACAGATCATGTCATTATCTTTTCATTGTTTTACTTTAACTGCAAATATCAATTAATAATTGTGCGATATTAATGTGACTCAAAACGCAAAATCTTTAAAAATGATGGAGCTATAGCTGGATTCAAGTAGATATTCGTTATTTAGTTAGCGCACTGTATAGGGTGTGCCAAACATCTGGGAAAAAATTCTGTATACCCCAAAAAATTAAAGATTCAACATAAAATAAAAAAAACAGTCGTAAACAGATTATGTTTAATATTGTCTAAGATTTATTACTACATAACATAAAAAGGAAAAAGTGGCCGCTTCTAATGTTAAGGATTATTTTTAGGAGGGGCAATTTTGTTCGAAGAGTAATGTTATAAAATCAGAAGCAGAACCTTCCCCGAAATACTTTTTTGAAATAAAAACATAATTTACATATACTGTATAAATTAGATAATTAAACATATTAAACAAAGTTGTTAAAATACCCACTTGGTAATTAATTTCAAACTACTATAATGATAATTGGTATAGCTGCTTACGTTCCCAATGACATCATGAAAACAAAACGCGAATTAAGATGAATGTAAATGAGGAAATTAATTGGCATAATCTGTGAGCAGCACAATGCGTTATATGTAAATAGTAAATACCTTTTTTGCACTGTTCTCACCTACTTTTAGACTGTAGATTCTATTAACATAAATTCTGCATGGGGATCAAGATCCTACTCGTGTCAAGAGGTAAATTTAAGGAATCATCAAGATATTTTTACTATATTTAGATATAATGTACGATGGCGAAAATTGACTAAAACTTAACATTCAACAATATTTCCCTGTTTTATTAGTGTCAGAATAACAAGAAATTCGCACCAGTAACGATAAAATTAAAATGTTGCAGTATAATTCGTGTAATCATTAATAAATAATTTATTTAAAAATAATTGCAGAAAATTTAACGCTGCACCTACTTGGTGCTACTACTATAATATACAGGGTGTTTCAATTAAAACTTCCCACCTGGGAAATATAGGAATTTAAAAAAAAAACAAAAAAATGTAAGACACGTGATGACGTAGGTTTTGGTGTCTTGAAAGCTACCCCTTAGGCAGGGGCATAAAATATGTTGAGTGACACCTCATTTGAAAGCTTTTTCAATTCTGCCCACGATAACATATGACTTTTTAAATTTTGGTTTGGATATGGCAATAAAATCATCACTTACAGAATAAGACAAAATATCAATGAATAAGATAATGTTGTTTTATTAAATGTTCAAATTGGTTTCCCTCCGTTTCCATACAATAAAAACCTTTTTGCTCTACTTCCGAAAGAACATTTCGAAGCATTTTGGGCGTTATCTGACGACATCTTCGGTCGTGTTGCGTAAATTTTCGACTTTAAATGTCCCCTTAGAAAAAAGTCTAAGGACGTTAGATCTGCCGATCTGGGAGACCACTCAACTGAACGTCTGCGTCCTATCCAGTGACTTGAAAAGTTCTGATTAAGAAAATCCCTTACATCTACGACATAATGTGGTGGAGCACCATCCTGCTGAAACCCCTTTTCTCTTCTGGCAAAGCGTTGTCATTTTCCAATACTTCCACAATCATTTGGTAGATTAATATTCGTTTCCAGTGGATTTAGATACATGTTTCCATTCAGATTTCCAAGTAGGAAGAAAGGCCCTATGAGGTGGTCTCAAACATTCAATTTCCTCGGATGCTGCGTATGAGTTT